TTTAGAGGGTGTTCCCCACTTATGTGCATTTCATTTATGCACACAGGGGGGCCTGGAACGTATCCCCCATGCAAGTGGGGAGTTGCCTATATATCATGAGAAATTTGCACTAAATGCTGGTTAATTTGAATATGCCACCTGCTGTAGAAATAATAATAATAATAATAATAATAATAATAATAATAAATTTTATTTATATCCTGCCCTCCCCAGCCAAAGCTGGACTCAGAGCAGCTAACAACAATAAAAGTAACACAGCATATGTGGAGAACTGAAGTCAAGATAGGAAAAATGAGAAACAGAAAAACTGAAATGGACAGATTTGCTCATCCCAATATCTGGTAGACATTTTTTCTGCTCCAGAAGCACAGATTTCAAAACGAAGCTTGAATACCGCATGCATTTATCACTGTTCTTTATGCCAGAGGCATAGAACTTCACACCCAGGGGCTGAATTCGACCTTTTCTACCTGGCCCTCAGGAATGTCTCTTATGGCTGAACCTGCCTTTGTATGTTTCTTTAGTATTTTTGCCTGCCTCAAATTTACCCTCCACCATATAGCGCCTCTTGAGAGTAACGCATGGGCATGTGTTGAAACTAGCCTCCTTAATTTGCAGAAGTCAAAACTGCATCCATTCACTTCTGCCTCTGCCCCCACTCACAGCTCACAAACCTTGTGTGCCTCTTTATAATTTCATCAAGTTATGTGGGAGTTCCTTTCTTGTTTTCCTTTTCTTCCAAAAACCAGCTCATAGTCTTACGCCCAGGTATAGAGCCTTGCTGCTGACTTCTCTCCTCCAGCAGTTTTAGTGCTTGCTGCTAAATGGACACATTAAACAGCTGCCTTTCTTAAGCAAAATATCTACTGATCCGTGGACAGATGACATTGGATCCTTTTATTCTCTGCACTGAATGCAGCCATAAAATGCCTTGTTTTATTGGTCTGTTTCTTCCCCTGGACGGAATTAGATTCATTCGGAGAATGGTAGTATCTACGACAGCATTTGCTTGAAATGACAATGGCAGCCACACCAAAGATGCCCAGGCCAGGTTTTTGAAAGGTTGTAGTACTATGACATAAAAGAGCTTGAATGGTCTCCTTTACTTTCATAAATTTGACTGTGCATATATTTGTCTAGTTACCTTTGGCAATTTTGCCTTTTCAGTTCTTCCAACTTTAATATCTTGACCACTGGCTTTCTTTAAAGCACCAGCAGAAATGAAAATGAGTTTACTGCTGGTTTATTTATTTTTCCTTTCCCCTCATTGCAATTAATTAAGTGGTTGGATTTTCTTCAATGAGCAATGCTCATTAAGCTTCTATCTTACACAGAAATCTCAGTACATAGAGCACAGAACACATCCAAGGTTACTTGGCTGCAGCACAGAGCCATTTGTATATCTTTGCTTAAGCCTTTAAAACTGGCTTGCGTCATTATTCTACTGTGAGACAGATGTGGAGGGACATTTTCCCAGGATGAAGCTAATCTTCACATCAATGAAACCAAATCCATGCTGCTTTAACGTTTGCCAGCATTGTCTAAACAAGTCGTCTTCAGTAAACAGATTCAAGATGGGTCAGTCAGCATGGTGTAGTGGTCAGAATGTTGCACTAGACTAGGATCAAGGAATAATAATATAATAATAATTTATTATTTATACCCCGCCCATCTGGCTGGGTTTCCTCAGCCACTCTGGGTAGCTTCCAACAGAATATTAAAATACAACAATCTATTAAACATTAAAAGCTTCCCTAAACAGTGCTGGCTTCAGATGTCTTCTAAAAGTCTGGTGCAGTAGTTGTTTTTCTCTTTGACATCTGGTGGGAGGGCTTTCCACAGGGCAGGTGCCACTACCGAGAAGGCCCTCTGCCTGGTTCCCTGTAACTTGGCTTCTCGCAGGGAAGGAACCCCCAGAAGGTTGATGTCATCTCAATCTACTAACACCACCACAACCAAAACATGTGGACAAGGATTAAAGAAGACTCCCGATTTAGCACACTGCCATCAATAGGAGGTTTTCTCTTTTCTTCATTAGGCCTTGCTGGTTTCAGTGTTTTAATCTTCAAGCACATGTTTGATGTGTTACTGCTAAACGATCTCTTAGGTTATGGGAAATCCTTCATGCAGAATTATGTTTTAAATGTTCTTGGTTCAGCTTTTGCCATGAAAGATGAGTGCACTAGACAGATGCTCAGCATGAGAAAGCAAAAAATAACAAGAAGGCACCTATTCTATGTATATCCGTCATATCAGAATGCCTGTTATACACTATGCCTATTTGTCAGATTAGAGATTTTATCTGTGGATTTTGTTTGTTTAAAATATTTTGTTTCATTTATTTATTTTTTTACTTGCTGCATAAACTGCTTTGTGACTTTCTATGGCAAAAAGCAGTCTATTAATACTGGAGATAACAAATAAATAATTATGTGGGAGCTGGTTCCAATGAGTCACTTCTTTCCTGAAATGTGCAGCTTTCACACACAGAAATGAAAACATACACCACACAAGGATCTGATTAGATGCAGCAGAGTAATTAATTAATGGTTAATTTACCTCCTTTGTTACTGTGGTAACTAATTTTGGTCCAATATATTTTTAGGGAAGGGATCAATGAGCTTGAAAATTCATGTAATTTGGATGGGCTGATCTTCTGCAGCTGGTACACTAAAGCAGTAGATTGAGATGGCAGCTTCAAGTTAGTGTCTGCAGTAGAATGGCAGTGAATCAATTCAGTGATTCAACGCCAACAAATGTCTGGTTGTTTCATTTTTTTAAAAAAATGCAATTCCCTAACACTAAATGCTGATTTTTGGACTTTTAAATCTCTCTCTATATATATATTAACAATATTTATTGTTTAAATCAACTTTTTTAAAAAAAGTTATGGTTTCCCTAGTATATTTCATGTGTTGGGGACACATCTAGTTTCACTGAGATTTTACAGTGCAATCTACACATTTCTACTGAGAATCATGGAATATTGAATTCACTGGTGCTTACTCCCAGGTAAAATGTGCACAGGGTTGTGACCTTAACACAACTCCATGTATGGAAAGTTGCATTTAGATGTACTGCATTTTACATTTAACGTCAAGCCTTCCATTGGAAGTGAAATAAATTACTAGAAGTCCAGCTGTACGTCTTTGATATAAATAAGTAACTGTTGGTACGTAAAGTGTTGAAATATTTACTATGATTATAAAGGTATAGAAGCAAAAAAATAAGTAAATGCCATGAGCCTACACAGGGTCTTTAAAAGAGGGTCCATGAGACCTTATAGAATGTGGTCTTCATGTGTGTTGAGAAGGCTGGGGTATAAGAGAGACTGTCAGGCCACACATTGTGAAGCGGTCTAATTAAAACTGACATCCCATGTCAAGTGCTCCACAGAGCAAACCTTTTCATGTTTCTCATCTTAGCATGCACTCCACAGTCTGGATGATCTCCAAGCTTCTGTCAACCACCACCAGAAAATGGCGGTGGTCACATGGAATCAAGCCAAAAGGTAGAAGCCAGTCTACTGCAGGTGGATTGCCTTGCTTGGTCTCTATTATGTAATCCACCACTTCTTGCAACCTGTATAGAAGAACTCCCCTTAATTACAACCAGTCAGAAAGACATTTCAAAAGGCAGTGCAAAGTAGTATCACGTGTCTCTGGGAATTTGTTTGAGGAATCATGTTAATTTCATTAAATCCACCTACGGATGAGTTTGTCCTGTCAATATGGGTAAACTATTTGAGGAGTTAACGGTAAGGGTGCATTCCTTCCCTCTGCGTGTGAGAGACAATGAGGTTGGAAGGAAAGTTTACTTGCTCTGGTTGGTTTCACTTGAGTGAGGTATTATTTTCTCAGGGCCTCCCCTCCATGCCCCACCTCACGCCTTTGCTAGTCGTTCAGTCTTTCCCTGTTTCATAAGTATTCATTTTCTGCATTGCCAGATATTCTAGCAAGCCAGCTATCAAGCCAAGCAGGCTCAACAATAGAGGTTATTGATAACTTGCTCTCCTCTCCTCGGCCACCAAATCCACACCGATCATGGGAACTGCAGCAATCGTTCCTTGTGGCTACAATAAACACGCTTCATTGACGCCTCGACCCCTTTCTAAGGGTATATTTGACTCCGTCGATGTCAGCTGACGACTTCCGAGCCTAGCACGCCAGAAGCAGCGCTTTAATTGTTTTGTAGGGAAAGCGCCGCCACCTCATCCACCACTTCTAAACAGGATCATGGAACGGGAGAGCGCTTTAACTTCGCCTCGCTAGGGTGTGAAATAAATAAAAGAGGCATTGCCTCTGGAAAAGGGATGTCGGGGAGGAGGAAAGGCTGTTGGGCTTCGACAATATAAGGCTGAACTGCCCAATGAATGTAAATGTTGGAGGGGGTGGTGGAATCGGAAACAGCGACACAACGACAGCTCTTTTTTTACGGTCTTAGGTGAGTACCGCAAGGAAATTATCGAGTTCCCTCCTATATGTCGATTTGCAATCCGCCGCTAGTTTGGACAGCTCCCTCCGACCTTCGGCTGTTCGCTCTCCGACACTGCAACAGCATAGCTGAGGAAAGCGTACCAAGGGCGGCACTTCAGCACTAAGTTACTTTGGACAGCTCTCTCGCGACCCTCCTCTACAGTATTCGCTCTCCGACGCTGCAGCAGCATAGCTGAGGAGAGCGTGAAGTACCAGGCACTTCAGCACTAGGTTACTTTGGACAGCTCCCGCCGGCCTTCCACGTACACCCCGCCTCCCGCAGCTCGTATTACTCGAGCTTAGGAAAGTGATCGGAGTGCATTCGCCTCCGCGCAAGCAACACTACAGGAAGCGAAGCGAGCGAAGAGGAAAGACTCTTCCAGGAGCAGCTCCCACCCCGCCAAAAAAAACACCCCAGCTTCATCTTCGCGGGCTCTGCTTTGGAAGCATGGATCTGAGAAGGCGCGACACCTCCTCATCCAGCCTAAGACTCCCTGTACTGCTTCTATTTTTATGTGAGTATCAATGCCTGCTTTTCCCGTGCGGGTGGCGGACGACCAGCGCTACTTTCCTCTGGCGAGTCTGTCTATTTAGGCTGCGCATCACTAGCATCCCTGCTTTGAGGGCCGTCTGAGAAATGGGAAACAGCCATAAGACAGCCCTGTGTGTCTTGCGGTTGGTTGTGGGGAGATGACTATGATCTCTCCTCGGTCTTACTGGGAAGGATATGTCGATCAGCGGGCTGGGCTTTCGTTGGGAAATGCCGTGCAATTAAGAAAGACAGGTAGTTTCCTACCCACATAATCAGACAAAAACTGACCGCTGATAATAAAGTCCCGTTTTCAATAAAGCTTTGTGACTGAGAGTGCAATCCTTCTCAGAAGAATGCCTGATTGAGTTGAATAGGTCTTGGTCGCTAACAAATGCGTATAGGTTCGCAGCTTAAACCTGAAAACCATGCCCCCTCCTGACTGTGATCTCTTATATATAACGCAGTGGCCAGCAGCGGGGCAGAACAAGAAGTGGAGAACCTCTCCGGCCTGTCTTCGAACCCCGAAAAGGCTATTTTTGTAGTTCGCGAAAATGGAACGACCTGTCTTATGGCGGAATTCGCGGCGAAGTTCATCGTTCCCTATGACGTGTGGGCCAGCAATTATGTAGATGTAAGGATCTTGCGCGCGAGTTCTCGCTTGCCCCATCTCTCTCCAAACACGCACGCACACCGACTCCACCAACTTTGTGCATTTTGTCATCCAATAAAAGAGCCGGAAGGTTTAGCTTTAGTATTTCTGAAATGTTTGTTGATTTGAAATACTGTGTGACTGAGAGGGAGGGAGAAGCAGGAATAATCTAGAATATGAGGATCCCAAGCATGTTTCGCCTTAGTTCTTGCCTGATGTTGCTAAGGTAATGCAGATCCCCAGCTCCCCACACACAAGAAGAAAATTAAAAAAACAACAACCCACACCGAATTTGCAAGTAGTTAAGCTTGGAATGAGAAAAGATTGTACTCGGAGAATAAACGCCCCCGCTCTCTCGCTCTCCCACCCCAAGGAATGCTGGCTCCTATCTATTGCTGGGGATTCTTGGGTTTAATGCTTTTATAAGTGCATAAAACTTGCTTTTTCATATGGGAGTGGAAAAGAGATCTGACCATATCTAACTGCCCATCTTGATCCTCCGGGACGGGGAGGCGGGTGGTGGTGGAGAGATTATGGGCAATTATTCTACCTGGCTGTGAACAGAGAAATCCGCTCATTTCTATGACCCCGCACACACCTGTATTCATTCCATCTGTTGTGGGCTGTTGTTATAGCAGCATCGGGAAAAGGGGGATGTCGACTCCTCCATGTTTCCCTTGACAGTCTCTTTGAGAGCCTTTTGCCTCGGATAAAATCCTTAATAAAGGTTTTTTTTTGGGGGGGGGGAGGTCGTTGAACTTCGGGGTGCGGGGAGGTCGTTGGACTTCTCCGTTGACTGAGCCTGTTGTGCCCTTGTGTCCAGCTGATCACAGAGCAAGCCTACATCCCGCTTTCCCGGGGAGCAGAAGAGCAGGGGAAATGCGGCAGCAACGAAGCCGAACTCCAGATTTTTTGGATAGACAAAGCTTACACCCTGCGACTTTACTTTGTCAAGGTAAATAATGGCGACCGCAGGGTCACCCGCGTAGGAGCCCAGAAACTCAGGAAGAGTCAAAGGAGTGGGGATGAGAGACGGAAGGAAATAAAGGGGAGAGCATGAGAGAGAAGATGAGAGGCAGAGAAAACGGGCGGTCAAAAAACACCAGGATGGCATTGTATTTTATTTTTCTAGTTCGCACAGTATCCTTACTAAAGGCCCACGAAGCGGTTATTTCCCCGCAGCTTCTAAGTTCTTTCATGCCATGACAGATCTGAGCAGCATTTTTATTTATTGGGAGGGCGCAGGGTTCCCAAAGCTCAACCCAAGTTCTCACCAAGCCGAAACGGGATGCGGAGGGTCCCAAGGGGATGCGTCCTTAATATCATCCGTTTGTCTTTCCGTCTATCTCTCTCTATCCGCCCCCCCTTCCCTTCCCTTCCCCCGGTCTCCTCCATCTCGAAATCGACAGGAGGGTCGCAACACCAGCACAGGGCCCGAGGCCTGGTGGAAAATGAACAAAGTCCAGTTCGTCTACGACAGCTCCGAGCGCACCTACTTCAAGGACGCGGTTAACCGTAAGTCCTGATGTGCTATGAGAGAGAGAGAGAGAGAGGCCTAGGAAAATCTAGAGAGCGGGTTTGTTTGGTGGCAGCGGATCAGGAGAGGAAGAAGACGACCTGGAATTCTCCATCACCTTCTTTGGAAAAGCGCGGGGGGGGGGCTGTCTGGGCTAGGGTTTGAGTACACAACACAGAGCACAACACAGCGAAATGCAGTCTTGATTTTGTGGGCTCTTCAAGTCCGGATTGCAACCCCGGCCTTTGCTTCTTTGTGCCAGCTCGCTCTGCTTTCACACGGAGCGTCGCTTCTCTCCGGTTTTTTGTCCGCTTTGCCTACCTTAGGCTAGATTCCTCTACACCCCCAAGCCCGCACTGCGGATAAAAACCGCATCCCTTCACCTCAAACCACCCTCCTTCCCTTGGGTGGATTGAGCACATGCCCGGATTCGGGTGGATTTAGGCGCTGAATCCCCGCCTTCTCTCTCCCCCTCCCCGCCTGCCTTGTTTCTCAGCGCTCTCCTGGAAGGTAGGTCCCTTTCCTGTGCGCAAAATCGACTTATTTCAAGAGGCATCTTTCTTCTGCCTTTGGGCCGCCTCGAAACAGTGAACAAGGCCACGCTTTTCAGGAGTGAACGATTCGACAGATTAGAAGCCGATTTCTGTCAGTTCGGAGCCTTTTGAAACGAAGGGGTGGCCCGACACGTTACAAAGAACCGCGGGTGCAATCCGATGCCTATTTACCTGGGAGTAAGTCCTGCTCAACTCAAGGGAGTCTACTGTGTTATCATTGCCTAGGATTGCGTTGTGCGGCTGCGATCAAACTGAACTCAGTAAGACTCGCTTTGTAAGGAAACGTTCTTCCCTTCGGGCTGCAAGTCTGGTCTATGCGCACCTTTCAACAGATAGGGCTTGCTACAACGGTTTCTCCGAAGACCAAAGCAATAAATTAATTAAATGTAAATACAAAAAACCCTCCGATAGAGTTGCCTTTCTGGCGTGTTAAGAAGAAAGTGCAAAATGGTAAATTAAAAACCAAAAGCTACATGCTACTACTCATCGCAGGAAGAAAAGACCACATCGGTTATTTACAGCAACGTGCCAGAACTAAAACCGGGGGGAAATATTATTAGGAAAATGAAATGTGCTCTTAACTCACAAATTAAAACTGGTCTCCATTGGCACTGGTCTCCATTGGTAAAGGTGATCCAGTGAAAGCTTTAATAGATGGATTTGCTGCCTATATGATTTGTCTCTTGTACCTATAGTTTAGGCTTCGTTGGTAAAGTATTTTTGAGTTTTACAGACTCAGATTTGCAGGTATGGGTGAATTTCATGCTCTTATTGCAAGCACTTCAGAACGTAGAGACTGGGCTCCTAAACCTGTCTTCAAATGTAAATAACAAAACCAACTCCTATTGTTTTTCTTGTTATTGCTTGGACTTTGGGACTGTTCTTTCTAAATGCTCTTTTTTAAAAAAAACCGAAGCCACCTCAGTTTTCCCTTCACTGAAATGGTGGTGGTGATTGCTTCATCCTGAATACATCCAAATGCCCTAGAAGATGTGGGCAGCTTTTGGTGTAGTTTGTCTGTTGAAGATGATTCTGTCTCATTTTCTAGCATTACTCTCTCAAGCTGATCTTAGATGTTCTCCTGCTGCCTCTATTTGTTGCTGTGTATATCTGCAGTGCAGGATGTTCTGCAAGAGATTGTCTGTGGCTCCCCCCATCCTGGGATCCCCCCCCCTTTTGTCGCATTGAAGCAAACAAAAGTCACATCCACTGTTCATAAATTTCATCGCTTTTGAATATTTCCTGATATTCAGAAATTGAAGCCAAAGTTTTATTTATCTCCTTCCTAAGTATAAATTGTGCTGAAAGTCATATTCATTTTAAAATAAAGTATAGGAGGGAAATCATGATTGATTTTCAAAAGGGTCTGAAAATCTACCATCTGCACTAATAAATTTACTGGGAATTGTCATCACATGCAAACATAGATTAGCTGTGGGTTTTTTAAAAAATATTTAATTTTTGAAGGTTTAAAGTGCAATCTTAGATGTTCCTCCTCAGAAGTGAGTCTCATTGACTTCAAAAGAATCATACTCCCAAGTAAATGAGCATAGGATTGCAGCTAAAGGGTTCAAGCCAGAGAAAGCAGTTCAGTGGGACATAGGTGCATAAGTTAAGCAGTTAGGTGCCATTAATTTCAATACTCATTTTTCTTTATTTTTGGATTTCAGCCCTACTTATTAAGATTTATGGATTTACTTTCATCATATGAGCATCATGCACATTTCACTGTCATTATTCTTACTTAAAATTAAGCACATTTACAAATCTGTATATGTTTCAGGTTTTATTTTGGAATATTATCCCTGATTATTGATTTATGTACAGTTTTGCGCAGAGTGCTGTGCTATGAGAACCAGTGTCGCAAATGGCTAACGTGATAGATATTGGGTGTACAGATCCCATGTTCAAATCCTGCCTCAGCTGCAATGCCTACTGAGTGGCCTTGGGCAAGTCACACACCCTCTCAATCTTATCTCACAGGGCATGTCTGAGGCTAAAATGCTACCCTGGGGAAGATACAAATAGAATAGTCCTCAGGGGACACAGCACGAGTGATGGCACTTTGAGTGATGCTGTGGGGATGCCTTCAGCAATGAGAATAAGAAAGAAAATCAAGTGATATGCTGCATCTCTTCTGGCGAAGCTGCATATCTGCTTAATAGTTGGTATTCTTTAGCATAATAATCATAGTTGCTGCCATAGCAAAAGCACATTAGTCTTCCAAGTGCAAAGGACCCCAATAGCATATATGGACACACACACACACTTTATGATGATTTATAAATATTCTGACAAAGGGGGTTCTTTCTCCATAATTCCCCAAGTGTTGGCAATTCTGCACATGGATATTTCTTCATTCTTAACCTCCACTCCACCTTCCCAATTCATCATCATTGACAATAACAAGGGCTGTACCATAAATGTCCTGGGAAAGGGTTCTTGCCTTTTCCACAAATCTAGAAAGTCGTAGGAATTTTGGGTCTCACCAGAGTGTAAAGAATACATGAAACCAATGCACTGTGAAGTGGATGAGAGAGCCCTGCCTCTGTCCTCAACCAGCTCTGGGAAAGCAAGATTTTCTGGCTATTAAGCTGGCCTGACCAATATGATTTGTTTGGGTGGAATCCAGATTTGAAGACGGCAACTAAGGATGCAGTCCATGCCCCATCAGAAAGCTGACCAAGGGACCACTGGAAGTTACTTAAGTCCACACACCTTTCTTGTTCAGTTGGAAGGGGAAGTTATAGCCTCTGCCTGCTCCTCCTCATTAAGGGCATCCTGTTAAAGGGATCCAGGGTGTGGATTCTGTGGATTATGCCCAGACGTGGGCTAGGGCCATGCCACGACCCCAACAGGGACCTCTCGGGGTGCCCCTATTTGATGTAAGTCATAGGAGTCCCCCTGTTGGTGGTTTACCCTTAGATGGACTCCCTGAAGACAGGCAGGAGTCGAAATATAGCCTGGCACCACCCAATGCCTAAGCCAAACCGCTCACATCTGTAACCAACAAAGTTGTAGCCTATTTGATCCCATAAACTGAAATGCTCCTGTCCATGTGTTTATTAATCACTAGGGAACTGTGGGTCATAGGGCCTTGGCACATGAGTGCTGCTCTGTCAGCAGACAGGGATGACACTAGCATCACTGAGATGGTCCTCTAGCAGTGTTCCACCAGTGGAATGGGGAAAAATGGGTCATAGTGGTAACAGGCTTAAGTCTGGTCAGTGAAAGCAGGGGAGTTATTGCCTCTTCAAATAGGCAATACTGAGGATCCCAAGCCTTAGGAATGGTTCTCATCCATTGACATTTCTCTCTTTTTGGCAGCCGGGAAACACACATCTACCACACGCCATCTTTCTGCTTTAGTCACCCCAGCTGGGAAGTCTTATGAATGCCAGGCTCAGCAGACAATCACCTTGACCTCCAGCGACCATCAAAAATCTGTAGTTCTCTTGCTGTCGGAGGTCCGCCTTCAGCCCTTTGACATCAGCTCTGATTTCACCTTCAGTGAAGGTAAGGGTCTTGCGGGTGCTGGGAGATGTTTGGGTACCATTTGGAAAGATGAGGTGGCAGCACTTGGCCAGCAAAGCAGGCAGCTTCCATGGAAAGCTGGGATGGACAAGGGACACAACACATCTTCTTTATTATTATTTTGAAAGAATAAGTTATCCTGTCCAGAATCTCAGACAAAGGCTAAGAATAGCATTCCTTCAGCTAGGAACAAGCAGATTTCCCCCATCCCATTATTATCTTATAATGGATGCTTTTTCCATCAAGGACCATTGACTCACAAATAAAATCATTTGTGGGCACAAACAAGTGTTCACTAAGTGTATTAATTTATAACTTAATTGTATTACAGGTTCTTAATTTCTAAAAATAAATGGCATAAATAAATACAAATACTATAATGGCTGGGAATGGCTAAGTTGCCTGGTCCTGAAGATGCATTAGGTTGAGGACAATAATTGTTCCTGGAGAAGGAGGCAGGTGAAGACATGCTCCTACTTCTTCAATTGAGTAGATCTTATTTACTTCTAACTTTTTTTGTTGGAGCAATAGTGCCAATCACTGGGCTGTATGGAAGCAAGATTCAACAGTGAAGAATTCTGAAACTCCTGGGGGGGGCAGCTGAATAAGCAGGGGGGTTGGCACCTGGTCTTTGTGTTGGAGGTGTTGTCCCCAAAACCCATTGCAAGGGCTTAGACTGCCCTACATTCTACAACCTGCTTTTCTGTTTAACGTGGATAATTTTTAACATGATTCCCCCGCCCTTAGTTTTCCATTCATAGCTGAAAGTGCTTTGTGGTTGTGACCGAGGAATCTATATTGCTCACTTCTCATAACCAATCACTATTTTGGCAAAATGCCACAGCCAAAAGGGCAATGTCCAAATCCTTTGCTTCACCTTCTTCAGTCCTGCTCTAAATTTTCTGAGCAGTAAACCATTTCCAATGTCTTTAGCCAACTGCCTTTCTTATAGAATAGATATTGTAGATACAGTGGTACCTCTGGATGCGAATGGGACCCATTCCGGAGCCCCGTTCGCATCCTGAAGCGAACGCAACCCGCATCTGCATGTGCGTGGGTCATGATTCACAGCGTCTGCGCATGCATGTGACATCATTTTGAGCATTTACGCATGCAGGAGCGGTGAAACCCGGAAGTAATGCGTTCCGTTACTTCCGGGTCACCATGGAGCGCAACCCAAAAACGCTCAACCTGAAGCTACTTTAACCCGAGGTATGACTGTACTCCTTTTGTCATAAACTACTCATGGCAGAAAAAAAGTGGAAGGTTTCAGGTTTACGAAATGTTCTGGATTTCCATATGATTATATATATGAAGGTGGAAATTTGTTAATTGTTGGCATGAGTGTCAAAGTCTTATATGCACAGGTAGAAACAAAACATAAGAAGGACCCTGTTGCATTACATCAAGGGTCCTGTTAGTCCAGCATCCACTGTCCAATAGCAACCAACCAATGGCTTCTGGGAATCCCAGGTGTAGGAAATCAAGGCAAGACCCCTTCCTTATTTTGACCCTAGCAATGGGTATTCAGAGGTACTCAGACTCTCAACACAGATATTCATTTTATCTATCATGGCAAATAGCCATTGCCAGACCTATCTATCTAATCTGAACATTTAGTTTTATCATGCATATTTCTTCCTTTAAAAAACCAACAAAATTATGTATACTGTGTTTTGATAAGTTATAGGTTGACTTGTTTTTAATGAATATCTTATATTGTTTTATGTCAACTGCTTAAAGGTCTTGATAATTAGATGGTATATAAATCCTGTTAATTTTTAAAAGTCCATCCTACTTTTAAAGCTGTCTGGGCCAGTCACCATTACTATATCTCCTGGCAGTGAACTCCACAAATTAATTAAGTGTTGCAAAAATAAGTTATTTCTACTTTCTGCTCTGAAACTACTGCCCATCAGTTTAACTCAGTGACCCCGAGGGTTAATGCGAACACTGAAGACTAGGGTTAAGGACTCTTGTGCACCACTTAGGATTCTATGCACAACTGACCTTGGCAGCCTGTTTTTCCTTAATGATAAAATTACAAACTATGTCAATTTCAAAGGGAAGGCACTCCAGGATGAGTGGGAGAAGCATTCTTGCATTACTTTGTTATTTTCAGGGCTGCCCGTTAAATGATTTCCTTCCTATTGTTTCCAGTGGAAGGGAAAATACTTACAGCAGTTCCAGGACTGGCATATGTTTCCCCCTGTTTCAGTGACATGTTGGGGAACTGGAAGGCCATGCATCTTTTCGATCAGTTCCTTCCCCCAGTGTCAGGGAATCCGATCCCGCCACGGTAGGCTGCCAGGAATAGTTAGACAAGGAAAGCTCGTACCAACGTCTTTTATTCAATATTCACAGAGAGAGGCTTGGAAATGTAGCCTCTTGGAGTAATGGCGTTGTTCTGTGAAAACTTCACCCTCCTTCTCTCCTCAGTCGTCAGCAGCAGCACTCACCTTATGGTGGCCTCTTAGGGCCATTTGCCTCCGAGTCCTTTGCTCTCCTACTTTCAATGTTTGCCGGGTTCTGGGAGAAGAAGGGTTTGGAATGCTTTCTAGTTATCATGTGTCAGCCAGCTGCTCTGGCTCTGCTTCCCCCGCCTCTTCTCTCATTATTTCCCAACTTTGCCCCTCATCTACCTCTGAGCCGTGACCATCTGCAAACCACTACTGTAAATCTATACTGTCTTCCTCTTCTCTGGAAGGTTCAGGAAGAGGGGGAAGCGGTCTCCACCAGTCATCCGACGATGTCCAGTCCCTGACACCCAGTCTGCTCTGATATTCCCTCATGCAGCCTTTTCCCCCTGCATGTGAACTTCCTGGAGCCATCATGGCCATTGCAGGAAACAGGATGCTTGACTGGATGGGCCAGTGTTCTGATCCAGAAGGATTATACCTATGTTCTCCAAGCTGTCCAATTTCTTACTTAACCATAGAGCTCACAGGTTGACTCTGGGCCATATTTTTGAATTCAGTATGGCTTACGCCACAGGGCTGTTGTGGGAATATTGTATGTGTTGCCTTGAGCTCTTTTTATGGGAAAGAGTCCATTTTGTTGCATATAAGCTCATGTTTACTGGTACAGAAAATAACTCTCTCTCTGTCTCGCTGCCCCTCCCTGTTTTCTGTTCATTTATATTGCAGAACATAAGTGCCCAGTAGACCAAAGAGAACAGTTAGAAGAAACCCTTCCTCTCATTCTGGGCTTGATCTTGGGACTTGTTATTGTGATCACTCTCGGCGTTTACCATCTCCACCTCAAAATGACTGCTAGTCAAGTCCAAATCCCACGAGACAGATCTGAGTACAAACATATGGGATAGTAGCTGGCACGCTCACCAGTCAGCTGAAGCAAAAGCACTTTTTTCTCCTGTAGGCCAGGGGCTCCCATGTGATGAAATCAAACTTAACTACTTTATAATGACCAAAAGGGGGAGGGCAGGAAAGGGTGGGGGCGGGGGGCAGCGGGAGCAGCCATTTCTCAAAAGTCAGTACTTCAGAGCACAAGGCAACATTTTCTTCTTGGAAGGACCATTGATGTAAAATGGCAGCTTCCTTCCCATTCATGTTCTGAGGGAAGAAATTAGGATGGAGGTGTATGTTTTGCTCTGAGTACTGCTTGATCTGCTGCTGCTGCTGCTGCTAGGATGGGTTGGATCTGATGATCTGGGAATGGAGATCCATAATTTTAATGGAAGGAGTGAGGAAAGACATATTTCCCCCCTTTTATCCTACAGCCCTTCATGCTTCTTGAAAAAAACGGATGGGAGGCTGAAGGAGAACAGAAAATGCTGAAGATCATCTCCAATCCTTCCATGAATGAAAACCTCCTCTGGGTCACAGTCTTTTCCTTTGAATGGAAGGACTTCTTCCATCCATGGAAAAGCTTCTTTGGATCCAACCCATCACCCTATATTCCCAAAGCTCCAACTTTTCCTATGGGAGCAAAGGGATGGTTAAGGAGCCAGGGATCTAGAATAGCATCCTATAGAGACATTCCCCAAGGAATGATGCCATTTTGAAAAAGAAACAAAAATACCAGCCAAATCCTGCTCACCTTATGTTAAGCCGCCACAGCTTCACTTCAAGTTCATCTCAACCAAGAATCTATTTCAATCAGGCAGGGTGGGTGGGGGAAGAGAAAAGAACCCATGATCTTAGCTTGAGGAAAAATTGTTTTTTGCTTAATGGGAATGCTTTAGCACCAGAACAACTTTATAGTTGTTGCTGCTCAAAACATAAGAGCGTCATGCTATTGTAAGCCAAGTGAGAAATGCTTCTGGGCTGAGCACCTTGCATGTACTGTGATTGAAAAAAAAAAATGCCTACCACTCCATGATGACTTCATTTAAGACAACAACCACAAAACGTTCATATGACTATGCAGATATCTTCAGGTGTTATAAATATATATGTGTAAATATATATATGGGGGAAAAACCCCTCCCAATAAATCCTGAATTATGTTGATTAATGCAGAGTATTTTTGAAACATAGGCAAATATATAAATATGTAAAATAATATTTTATTGGCATTCTTATTCATTTGGAAGTGACCTCTGCTTCTGTACAAATAATGAGATGCAAATAAAATGTCAGGTGGATTTGGTAAATGAGCACCTCGTATCAGTGCTTCCCTTATAAAGGCCTTCAGCAGGTGGAATAAGGGTGCTTCCTTGAGACAAGGTGGCCCCATTCCAGGCCATCACACTTCGCAGGGGGTGGTGAAATAATGCCAACGAAGGGGAAATTCTGTATCTTCTGCATAAGTCACTTCCATCAGGTTTAGGTGGCTCAGATGAACACCACACAGATTTGAAGATCTCCCTTTCTGGATCAGGCTTGTCTTGGGGCCAAATGACACATTAAGAGCGTGTAAGTAGCATGCATAGGACTGGTCACATCTTATAAAAAAATAATAATAAGACTGCCACAACTTCAGATGCTGTTCTGTGCAGAACAGGGGTCAGCAAACTTTTTCAGCAGGGGGCCAGTCCACTGTCCCTCAGACCTTGTGGGGTGCCAGACTATATTTTGAAGGGGAAAAAATTAACGAATTCCTATGCCCCACAAATAACCCAGAGATGCATTTTAAATCAAAGCGCACATTCCACTCATGTAAAAACACCAGGCAGGCCCCACAAATAACCCAGAGATTCATTTTAAATAAAAGGACACATTCTACTCATGCAAAAACACCCTGATTCCTGGATCATGCGCGGGCCAGATTGAGAAGGCGATTGGGCCGGATCCAGCCCCCGGGCCTTAGTTTGCCTACCCATGGTCCAGGGCAAAAACCCCCACAAAGGATTTTGACTGGTGGGTGAGACAACCCCATAGGTATATCAATCATGTGATGAGATAATGATGTTATATGGCTGGCAGGCAGCCCTGCCCACCTGCCACACTTGGCCCACAAGGAACAGGTCCTGTGAAACCAAAAAGGTCTCCCAACCCTGCTCTAGCATAAAAACCTCACGGGCATTTTTACTGTGAAGATGCTATGTGTGGTGCATTAATGTATTGATGTATTTACTCTCCCTAGTCTCTCCTTTCGTTTGGCGCTCATGTGAGCACAGAAACACATGCTCCCACTGTCTGATGCTGTCATTCCCTGTGCTGATTTCCCATTGAAAAGTGAAGCTGCTATTTTCAGCAGAAAAATTGTACTGCTGGCACTGATAATGAGTGAGCCCCCATCTATGAGAAACTGTTGTGAAATTTCTCCATCCGTTTGGAGGAGATGGTCTTCCCAATTTCTCTGCCCGTATATATGGCGGCGAATTTCCAGAGGCATTTGTGCACAACTCTATTTCTCCTCTTTCCATTCCAACATCATGATGTGTTGTAGAGCACATTGGGACTGAATGGATGAACTAGAAGGTCCACCCATCCAAAGTGCTTCCATCTTACCTGGGTAAGTTTCATTTTGTTATCCCTTACTGTTCCACCATAAATCAGCTGAGGAGCTGCATTCAACTTTGTGCTGTTTTATGTGAAACCAAGATCGTTTATATCTCTGGAATGGAACGCACCACAAGTGGCTTCCTGGGTTTTCCCATGGTGCAAATGTGCCATTATTCAGAGGTACAATGGTGCTTGGAACAGGCTTCTTCCAACCTAACGGCTTTCTGGCTTGGTGTAAGAAGATGGACCTCTGTCAGAAAGCAGCTCTCTGGAATGTGCTTGGAGTTTAATAACCAGAGGGTTTTGGTTTTTCCCCAGCTGGGGTTTATTCTACTCTGCTCCTCAAGAGAAAACACACACATAGCTTCAGCCCAGTCAGAGAGGAAATGTCTCAGACCCTCCCTCCAAATTTCTGTCCCTATGGCTAGTGAGTATCTGGTGGCTTTAAGTCACTTGAAACCCCTAGCCAGGAAGGAGGTAGGGTACATGGAAGTTACTGAGGATTTTGTCAAATGTTCTGTGTGAGAGAGAGATTGTGTGAAGGTTGTGCTCTTGTCCTCACACTTCCTGATGGAGAGATCCATCCTCAGCTGGGAGGGAGAACAACTCAGAGACTGCTCTGAATGGCCAATCAAAAATCTGCAAGAAGGTTGTGAAGCACAGGCAGAGATGGGTGTGACTTGGGGACAGGGGTGTGGCTTGGAAGGGTGTATGGCTTGGGGATAGTCCTAAGGACCAGACAGAGAGTCACATTCATTCTCCAGCTCTGAAATTCTTCACCACTGTCCTAAGCTTATCTTCACTCTCTCCTAATGTTGCCTGAGACCGACAACGGGGGAAGAGTTTGAGATGCCGAAGAAGAGTTTGGAGAACGGCATTGGCTCAGTGCTGTGTATGCAGAAACCCCCAGTTTCAATCACTGGGAGCTCCAGACAGAGCTACTGGAGATTCCTCTCAAAGAGTCACTGCCAGTCAGTGTATACAGTACTGAGCTCAGTGATCTGGCTTGGTCTGGCAGCTTCCTAGACAGGCTCCAGAACTCCAAGCATGGAGAGAAAAGCCCTTAATCTAAACAGACTTTTCATTTCTTAGAATTTCTTTTTTAGAATTTATCCTTTCTTGGTTCTCTTTCATCTTCTAAGCAGACCTGGAACCCTATGTCTTTTCCCTGCAGAGGCAGAGGAAGATGGGCTCCACAGGGGGAGTGGAACGATGCCTCTAAGTCTAGTCCCTCAGAAAATTATTTCCTCATTTGAAGACTCCTTCATTTACCTAGTAGGGAGGAACAAAGCGCCAAACAGTTCTTATCCATCACAATTGTAGGAGAAGTTGGTTGCGACTAGCTTTTGCTGGCATGCTACCAGTAGTTGTCACTTGGTGAATATGGCCAGCTAAAAATATTTGCAGCAAAAGCGAAAACATCTGCTCAGTTATTTTGCGTCCAATTTTTAAATAAAAGAAAGCTAATGGATGAATCCAGTATACCCAAATGAGTCCTATGTTCAGCCATCCTTTAGCTCTATTTATAACCCATTTCAACAGGGATAGTGATTGATTGCACATTATCTCCAAAGTCCTGGGTGACCAGGTCACAATTTGTGGGTGAGTTTAGTCCACAATAATCAGAAAAGCACTATTTGTTTGTTAATTACCTGTTGTTATTCTAGTAACCAGTTTATCCACTATCTTTCACCACGAAAGTGAAGCAGCAGCACTGGCTGTAGGGTAACATTGCCTCAGGTCCTGCCAAAGGGAATTATGGGGGAAAGCAATATGGGTCCTCTTCCAACTGATGTCCCTTCCACACACTGCATCAAGTGGCGGAGAATGTCATGCCTGGTGGCCAAATTCTGCCCTCCTGGGCTCTTCTATCCGAGAGCCTTTCCTCAGAAACATCCTTCACTAGCTCTGCTTCAAACCCTCCTTAAATGTTCTTGCCTGGCTGGAATGTGTCTTTCAACTCAGATAACACCTCATCATTACCTGGATACAGACAGAGAGGCAGAGTCATCTGGATGGCTACTATTGCAGAAAGAAAATTCTGGAATTGATAGATATTTGCAGTGGTGGCTGATGCCCCATGAGGCTGGCAGGGCAGAAGGCAGGAAGTCATTAGGAAGTCCACTCACCTTTTCTGGTGGGTGGCGTTGTGGCCAGGCAGCTGTGATCTGATAGTGATTTGGCACGGGGGTGGGGATTGACACTCCTGGCTCGCATTGCCCTGGCCACATCATCAGAGCTGGGCAGGACCACCCTCAGCGTGGTCCCGCTAGCCAATCAGTGCTGGTTGTGGGTGTGGCTACAGGAGATTTAACCACGTTGAGGCCAGGGGCCTCCCTCTCTCGCAGTGCTGGATTTATGTATGGGGGGGAAAGATTCAGGATCAGAAGGAGGGGCTCCCCCTCATGGTGGTTTA